CTCCGCCTCCTGGGCTCAGGCAATTCTCCTGCCTCAGCCTTCTGAGGCTGGGATCTGAGCTGGGATTACAGGCACACGTCACCATGCCCAGCTGATTTTTTGTATTTTTAGTAGAGACGGGGTTTCACCATGTCAACCAGGATGGTCTCGAACTCTCGACCTCGTGATCCACCCGCCTCGGCCTCCCAAAGTGCTGGGATTACAGGCTTGAGCCACCGCGCCCGGCTTTTATTTTTATTTTTATTTTTTGAGACGGAGTTTCGCTCTTGTTTCCCAGGCTGGAGTGCAATGGCATGATCTCGGCTCACCGCAACCTCTGCCTCCTGGGTTCAGGCAATTCTCCTGCCTCAGCCTCCTCAGTAGATGGGATTACAGGCACGTGCCACCATGCCCAGCTAATTTTTGTATTTTTAGTAGAGACGGGGTTTCACTATGTTGACCAGGACGGTCTCGATCTCTTGACCTCATGATCCACCCGCCTCAGCCTCCCAAAGTGCTGGGATTACAGGCTTGAGCCACCGCGCCCGGCTAAAAATAAATAAATAAATAAATAAAATTTTTAAAAAGGGCCGGGTGTGGTGGCTCACACCTGTAATCCAAGCACTTTGGAGGCCAAGGCAGTTGGATCACCTGAGGTCAGGAGTTCAAGACCAGCAAAACCAACATGGTGAAACCCCATCTTAAAAAAAAAAAAAAAAAAGCTAGTGCGAATGTCTGTAGTCCTAGCTACTTGAGAGGCTGAGGCAGGATAAATCCCTAACAGTTCAAGGCTGTAGTGAGCTATGATTACACCATTATACCCAGCCTGGATGACACAGTGAGTGAGATCCTGTTTCTTATTTTTTTTGTTTTGTTTTGTTTTGTTTTATTTTTGATAAGGAGTCTTGCTCTGTTGCCCAGGCTGGAGTGTAATAGTGCACCTTTGGCTCACAGCAACCTCCGACTCCCTGGTTCAAGCAATTCTCCTGCCTCAGCCTCCTGAGTAGCTGGGATTACAGGTATTACCATCATCTTTGCAAAGCCAGTATTAAAGAGATTGGTAAAGTAGCAGCACTCTTATTTGCTGAGAAATGAGACGTTTTGTTGTGGCTTGGACAATTTACATGTTTTGCATTCAACATGATGATGGAGTGATCTAGTTTTGTCTTGATCCATCACACTCAGTCTGATGTTGATGTTTTGTGAAACTGTTTATGCTCAACAGAACACAAAGACCTAGCTGTGTCAGGCCAATTTTTTTTTCCCTCTTTCTCACATTTTAATAAGCATGAAACATCTCATTCTTGGCTGAAGGATCTACATCCTTTTTACACAGAGAAGCAGCCTCGATTTCCATCCCAGGTGCAGAGCTTCAGCTAAGTGATTCAATTTCACATCTATCTTCACCTTGTAGTTTCTACAGAAACGACCCTGGGTCCACTTTGCAGTCCACACCAGATTATGACTCCTCTACACACAGCTGTGCTGTGCTTTGAGCATATCAAACACCGCTTCACTTAAATTTCACCTGAATTCGACTTTCCCAAATCACATAACAATTCTTTTATTTTAGTGACTGTCAATAAACTTGACTTTGGTGGAATTACAGGTTTCTCCACTGATTTGATTGGGCTAGAACAAAACTATATACTGTATAATAAAAATGTTATGGAAAAAATAAAAGCAAGGAAAGAGTGCTGGGAAAGGGACAGTTTGCGATTTAAGTAAGGTGCTCAAGGAAGGCTCCACGGATAAAGTGACATATGAACAAAGACCTGAAGGAAGTGGGGAATTTTTAAATTGGCTGATTATCTGGGAAAAGGGCATACCAGGAAGAGAGACCAGTCAGTGCAAAGGTTCTGAGGACAGGCATACAGGGCATGTTGCAACCACGCTTTTAGTGAGGCCCACCCTGACAACCTCTTTATTTCTAAAGCCTACCCCTACCCACACTGTTACTCTCTAATCCCACTTTTGCTTTTCTCCACAGAACTTTTCTAGATATAATTCCGTGTCGTTTGTTTTCATTCACCGATGTAGCCCAAGCTCCTAGGAGTGTGAGACACACAGAAGGCGCCTGACAGCCACGTATGAAGGAAAGGAGGCCCGGAGCTGGGCAGAGACCAAAGCCAAGGGATGGAGAAGACTCGGTCATGTGGAGCCTTGGGGACCACTGGGAGGGTTCCGGCGCCACGCAGATCTGCGCGGAACGAGCCGCCAGAGGCCGCTGTCAGTCGCACAGAGAAGCCCCTAGGACTCGATACACGTCAACGCGCGTGCGCCGCGGCCCCATCGAGGCGCCCGTCTGATTGGCTGTGGCTGGCTCACAAAAGGGGCGTTGCGCATGCGCACTCCTCCGCGCGAGCCGTGCTAGCTGGTTTCTGTTGCTCTCCAGCTTCCGTCGTCTCTGTAGCACTCTTGTGTTATCCTCCAGAGCTCTAGTCCCAGGAGCTCGGAATGTTCCCGGAACTTAATAACTTGCTCAATACCACACCGGACAAGGCGGAGCAGGTAAGAGGTCCCGTGGCCCGGAAGGGGGCGGGGCCTGGCAGGCGGCGGAAGATTGCAGCCGGGAGGTAGCGCGCACGACCCCGGGGAATGGCGGCATGACTGGGCACTGGGCGCCTGGGAGTTGTAGTCGGCAGAGGGTCGACCCGGGGATTGAACTGGAGACTTGGGCCCGCCGAAGTTGGGCCTTCTGGGCCGTCTCGCATATTCTCGAAGGCCGTGCGTGCCCTTAAAAGTCCTTGGGAAGTGGCCGGGCGCGGTGGCTCACGCCTGTAATCCCAGCACTTTGGGAGGCCGTGGCGGGTGGATCACTTGAGGTCAGGAGTTCGAGACCAGTCTGGCCAACATGGTGAAACCCAGGCCTCTACTAAAAATACAAAAATGAGCCGGGCGTGGTGGCGCATGCCTGTAATCCCAGCTACTGAGGAGGCTGAGGCAGGAGAATTGCCTGAACCCAGGAGGCGGAGGTTGCAGTGAGCCGAGATCACGCCATTGCGTGATCCAGCCTGGGCGACAGAGCGGGACTCCCTCTCAATAAAAAAACAAAAGTCCCTGGGAAGCACGGCGTACAGTGAGGTTGGCTTATATTCACAGACGTAAACTGGGGCACCTGTGCGTGTTCATTGGGGACCCAGGCGCTCAGAGGAGCCTGCGGAATCGGCCGGAAAGGAGAAAGGAGTTCGAATCGCTGCCGTCTTCGTGGGCGAGCTTCCTAACCGCCCCCTTGCCCGGGAGCACTCGGCGTGTCGTTTTGAACGCTGCTTTTCTTATTCTTTCTTCTCGTGGTCCGTAATAGAACTGTTAGGCAGCCAGCATTGGCTTGCACCAGTCTGCAGTCTGTCTTTGGCAACACGGGCTGGCCTGTTTTCCACCCTCCTGCTGACATTCAGGGGCACCTCGAAACGTTTTATATTTTAACAACATAGGAGTAACCTCTTTCAGGAGCCTTTTTTTTTTTTTTTTTTTTTTGGTCTGACGGAGTCTCACTTCGTCGCCCGGGTTGGAGTGCACTGGGCTCGATTTTGGCTCCCTGCAACCTCACCTCCCTGATTCAAGTGATTCTCCTTATTCAGCCTCTCCAGTAGCTGGGATTACAGGCCTGCACTACCACACCCGGCTAATTTTTTTGGGGGGATTTTTATTAGAGACGAGGTTTCACCATGTTGGCCAGGCTGGTTTCAAACTCCTGACCTCAGGTGATCCACCCACCTCTGCCTAAGTGATGGGATTACAGGCGTGAGTCCAGCCTGGTTTTTTCTTTCTTTCTTTTTTTTAAAGACGGGGTTTCAGGCCGGGCGCGGTGGCTCAAGCCTGTAATCCCAGCACTTTGGGAGGCCGAGGCGGGTGGATCACAAGGTCGAGAGATCGAGACCAACCTGGTCAACATGGTGAAACCCCGTCTCTACTAAAAATACAAAAAATTAGCTGGGCATGGTGGCGCGTGCCTGTAATCCCAGCTACTCGGGAGGCTGAGGCAGGAGAATTGCCTGAACCCAGGAGGTGGAGGTTGCGGTGGGCCGAGATCGCGCCATTGCACTCCAGCCTGGGTAACAAGAGCGAAACTCCGTCTCAAAAAAAAAAAAAAAAAAAAAAAAAGAGTTATCTCCTACAGACTAGATACTTTCAGTAAGCACAGATTCTGCCTTATAAGGTTTGGCCGGGCGCGGTGGCTCAAGCCTGTAATCCCAGCACTTTGGGAGGCCAAGGCGGGTGGATCACGAGGTCGAGAGATCGAGACCAACCTGGTCAACATGGTGAAACCCCGTCTCTACTAAAAATACAAAAAATTAGCTGGGCATGGTGGTGCGTGCCTATAATCCCAGCTACTCAGGAGGCTGAGGCAGGAGAATTGCCTGAACCCAGGAGGCGGAGGTTGCGGTGAGCCGAGATCGCACCATTGCACTCCAGCCTGGGTAACAAGAGCGAAACTCCGTCTCAAAAAAAAAAAAAAAAGAAGAAGACTGGGTTTCACCATGTTGGTCGGGCTGATCTTGAACTCCCGACCTCAAGTGATCCACCCGCCTTGACCTCCAAAGTGCTTGGATTACAGGCGTGAGCCACCGCACCCGGCCAGCCTAGTTTTTCCATAATCTTTGTCTTCCTGATGAAATGGTAAACTCCTCCAGGCAACCAGGATACTATGTGTCTAAAGCCTTTTTATGACCCCCTAGTGCCAAATTGTAGCTTTCAGTGGATCCTTGTGGAATTTAATTGCCAGACAGTTGTTGTCCAGATGACTCTGATTACCTTGCCAGTTACTCCTGGGACTTCCAAAGTCAGCCTAGGGCCAGATGAGAAAATGGACTATGCAAGTGAGCACCAGGAAATGACAGCACCCAGGACAACCCTGAAGGTCTGACAGTGTGATCTTTCATATTATAAGTGAAAAAACCTGAAGCCGGGAGAAGTCAGGCATTTGCAGAAGGTCACACGGCGAAGAGCCGGCATGCATGGTATCACTTGATCCTGAACCTTCCCTGTCACTGATGGAGGTGACTGGAGCAGGACACCCAGGCTTTGCAGAGACCACCCTCAGAGGTCTTTCTAGGACTCTCCATGATCACACCTCTGTCTCAAGCAGGGCCGTTGGGTGAACTTCGTTATCAGATATCTCTATCAGTAACCGCTTCTTCCTCCCCCTCCCTCACCCTGCAGAACAGAATTGACATCAGAATATAAAGTATTTGGCTGAGAGGTCTTTTGAAGGCCTCTTCAATCCTAGCAGTCTGATTTTCACTGGAGTCTGATGGTAAAGCGTCCTTTCTTCAGGATCCAGTTCTTCCTAAGACTGGTTCCTGAGTTACTAAGGTGAGGAGTGAGGAAGAGAAATAATTTTTTTCTCTGTTTTGCTTTGAGGAGGTAGAGGCTGAGATATGCTTGCCTATCATGAGTAACAATTAGTGATAACTTTAATCATGGATTTTCCGTAATTTTGACTTATTTTCATCTTTTCAGGGTAACTTTATCATATATATCATTAAAAAAATAAACTTCTTCAGGTGTAGAAATTTAAATGTGGACATGATTGACTAGATTTCTACACTAAGCTGACCTCTTTCCAGGGAGTCTAACCTTTTTTGTGTTCCTCGTAACTTTTAGGGGACACTGACTCTCCTCTGTGATTCCAAGACAGATGGCAGTTTCCTTGTACACCACTTTCTCTCCTTCTACCTCAAAGGTATGCGACTTGTTGATGCATAGAAAAGAAACCCAAGGGGAGTACAGATGTGATAAAAACCAAAACTGTTTAAGGAACCTTTCACGTTTTAATGTAGAAGTCACCTCTTACTTCTACATTCAATAAGAGCATTTATAAGCCAGGCCTTGCTGTTGGGATACCTGGGGTGGGGGGGCTATTTTATTTATTATTACTGGGCCATCTAGTTCCCTCCTCAGCCCTGACAAAGAGTGGCATGTGCTCCCTGTTTCTGTGTCCTACCTTCCCCTTCTCCGCCCACTATGTGGACATCGTCTCACTGAGGTCCTGTGTGGCCTCCTAATTCTGTTGCTCCTTGGTCTTTGTGTATCTTGAGGTCTCTGGGTGCTCGACCCTATTGACACTTTGTCCCGGCAGTAGATGCTTCCTAAAGAACAAGTCTGCTGCATGGCTGGGCCCAGTGGCTCATGTCTATAATCCCAGCACTTCGGGAGGCCCAGGTGGGAGGATTATCTGTGGCCAGAAGTTTGAGACCAGCCTAGGCAACATAGGGTGACCCTGTCTTTACAAAAAATACAAAAATTAGCTGGGCACGCCTATAGTTCCAGTTACTCCGGAGGCTGAGGTGGGCAGATCCCTTGAGGCCAGAGAGGTTGAGGCTGTTGTGAGCCACGTTTGTGCCACTCTAGCCTGGACAACAGAGCAAGACCATCTCTAAATAAATAAATAAATAAGTACCTAGTACTACATCTGACATCTAACAGAAATATATCTTAGAATCAGCAGAATAAGACATAACTGATAAATAATAAAAAAGTACATCTTTTTTCAGAATCAAATTCTGTATGTTGGGTTGCAAAGCCTCTGGGTCTCTAGATTTGCCTCAGTGCTTTTGTTTCCAGAGGTACGAAGTCAGTGAGACTGGTTGTTAGCAGAGGATTTATTTAAAACCAATTATTTTGTTTTCTAGCTAATTGTAAAGTCTGCTTTGTGGCACTCATCCAGTCCTTCAGCCACTACAATATCGTGGGACAGAAGCTGGTAAATATTTTGGTGCTTCATGGTGAGATCCCTGAGTGGGTGTGTGTGTCACGCATGGTCAAAAGCTTGGCTTTCCTGTTTGCTTTGTACAGAACTTAGTGAAGGAGGGACTAAATGAATCTTGGGATCCTGAACTCCTTATCTGAAGAGTGAAGGCAGCCTCTGAATGTGTTTCATTAATTGAGACTTTGTAGAACCAGACCTGCTCTTTGTAGATATTAATTAATCAAACTCTTCTCTACTTATTCTGGACCAGTTAAGATTTTCTCCTTCTCCATGAAAGTTTTGATTTTCATCCTCCTTGGTTGGAGCTCACATGTTGCTCTGCTGCGAAATTGGATGGCCCCCACTGTCTTTCCTTAAGTCTAGGGCTTCAGACCCCAATGTGGGGAGAGACACTTTTGTTTCCTGCCCCTCAACACATTAGACACAGGCAGGTAAGAATCAGATGGCCAAGAGGCTGCTGAACTTCCTGACCTAACCTGGGCCGTTACCCAGGTTAGGTAGTTGGTGAAGACCAGGTGGACTTTACTGCCTGAAAATGGGAGCTAAAGGGCTGTCTTTTGTTTTTGTTTTTGTTTTTTCCAGACAGGCCAGCCTGAGAGAGGGAAAGAATGGGGCTACTCATTTTTTTTTTTTTTTTGAGACGGAGTTTCGCTCTTGTTACCCAGGCTGGAGTGCAATGGCATGATCTCGGCTCACCGCAACCTCCGCCTCCTGGGCTCAGGCAGTTCTCCTGCCTCAGCCTCCTAAGTAGCTGGGATTACAGGCATGCACCACCACGCCCAGCTAGTTTTTTGTATTTTTAGTAGAGACGGGGTTTCACCATGTTGACCAGGATGGTCTCAATCTCTCGACCTCGTGATCCACCCGCCTTGGCCTCCCAAAGTGCTGGGATTACAGGCTTGAGCCACCGCGCCCGGCCGTAGAATCGGCTACTCTTTAGCAGTGGTCTTTAAAATGCCAGTCTTGGGCCTGGCATGGTGACTCACCGTGTAATCCCAGCACTTTGGGAGGCCGAAGCAGGCAGATTACCTGAGGTCAGGAGTTCGAGACCAGCCTGGTCAGCATGGCAAAACCCTGTCTCTACTAAAAATACAAAAATTAGCTGGACAGGTGGGTGGTGTGTGCTCCTAGAGTGAGACACCATCTCAAAAAAAAAGGAAAAAAAAATCTCTCCCGGAGATGCAGCCCCCACCAAAAAACATAAGCAAATCAAGTCTAGAAATATATAAGCAGAATGATACACCACACTTGGGTTTATTACAGTTTTGCAAAGCTGGTTCAGCATTTGAAAATCAACTGTTGGCTGGGCATGAGGGCTCACGCCTGTAATCCCAGCACTTTGGGAGCCTGAGGCAGGCAGATCATGAGGTCAAGAAATCAAGACTAACCTGGCCAACATGGTGAAACCCTGTCTCTACCAAAAATACAAAAATTAGCTTGGTGTGGTGGTGCACACCTGTAATCCCAGCTACTCTGGAGACTGAGGCAGGAGAATCACTTGAACCCAGGAGGTGGAGGTTGCAGTGAGCTGAGATCACGCCACTGTGCTCCAGCCTGGCAACAGAGTGAGACTCCATCTCAAAAAAAAAAAAAAAAAAAAAAAAATTCAACTATTGTAATCCACCCTAGGCTAAAGAAACAAATTCATATGATCATATCACTTGATGCAAAAAAAGCATTTGACAGGGCCGGGCGCGGTGGCTCAAGCCTGTAATCCCAGCACTTTGGGAGGCCGAGGCGGGCAGATCACCAGGTCAAGAGATCGAGACCATCCTGGCCAACATGGTGAAACCCTGTGTCTACTAAAAATACAAAAATTAGCTGGGTGTGGTGGTGTGCGCCTGTAGTCCCAGCTACTCGGGAGGCTGAGGCAGGAGAATTGCTTGAACCCGGGAGGCGGAGGTTGCAGTGAGCCGAGATTGTACCACTGCACTCCAGCCAGGTGCCTGGCGACAGAGCAAGACACTGTCTCAAAAAAAAAAAAAAAACAAAAAGCATTTGACAAAACTCAAGACCTAGTCATTATAAAAATTCTCAGCTGCCAGGGGTGGAGGTTTATGCCTTTTATCCTAACACTTTGGAATCTGTCACTCATGGGGCGTGCATTCTACTTATTTATTTCTTAGAGGATCCAGGCATGGTGGCTCATGCCTGTAATCCCAGCTACTCCAGAGGCTGAGGCATGAGAATCACTTGAACCTGGGAGGCGGAAGTTGCAGTGAGCTAAGATCGAGCCACTGCACTCCAGCCTGGGTGAAAGAGCAAGACTCCATCTCAATCAATCAATAACATCCAGTCTTACTGGATGTCTCGCTCTAAAGGCACACATCACCCGCCTGGCTAATAGCAGACCAAGTCACTGCCTCTTCTCTGTTGGGCAGAAGCAAATCAGGGGGTGAGATGATGGTAGATTCTTTCTTTCCCATCCTTTGCAGAGAAGGGAGAACTTCTTGTATTAGACATTAGGCCAGGAGCCCAGGGAGAACAATCAGGATGTAAAGAAAACATGTTGCATTGGCCAGGTGCAGTGGCTCATGCCTGTAATCTCGGCACTTTGGGAGGCCGAGGCAGGCGGATCATTTGAGGTTAAGAGTTTGAGACAAGCCTGACCAACATGGAGAAACCCCATCTTTACTAAAAAGAAATTTATTTGTATTTTTAGTAAATAATATACTTATTTACTAAAGTAATAAGTAGTATTACTTAGGCAGAAAAATCACTTGAACCTGGGAGGTGGAGGTTGCAGTGAGCTGAGATTGTGCCATTGTACTCCAGCCTGGGCAACAAGAGCAAAACTCTGTCTCAAAAAAAAAAAAAAGAAAACAAAACATGTTGCATTGCAGGTCTCTGTAGCATGATAGCATGACATTACGGCCACTGGATCTGCGTTTCAGATGAGACGGATGTGTGTTTGCATGTCTAAACTGGCCACTTTTTCTTTTACCTTTGAATGATCAGCACAGCAGGAATGGCATGCATAGTACTTGGCATGTGAAGTACTGGAGTGTGAGCTTCTGTACTCATGCCATATTATTGCACTTACATAAATAGACTGGTAGTGAGCAAGAGCAAAGGTGATGATCAGGAGGGTTTTTCTCTGTCAGCTGCAGCTATTGGAATAAATGGTCCTGGACAGTGGAGGACCCTGGGCGATTTGTGTGTGAATAAGCAATTGAGACTTGATGTAGGGGCATGAAAAGTCTAAAGAGTTACATGTCCTTCATCCCTCCCTCCTTCCCTTCCTTTTTTTTTTTTTGAGACGGAGTTTCGCTCTTGTTACCCAGGCTGGAGTGCAATGGCACGATCTTGGCTCACCGCAACCTCCACCTCCTGGGTTCAGGCAATTCTCCTGCCTCAGCCTCCTGAGTAGCTGGGATTACAGGCACGTGCCACCATGCCCAGCTAATTTTTTTTTTATTTTTAGTAGAGATGGGGTTTCACCGTGTTGACCAGGATGGGCTCGATCTCTTGACCTCGTGATCCACTTGCCTTGGCCTCCCAAAGTGCTGGGATTACAGGCTTGAGCCACCGTGCCCGGCCCCCTTCCCTTTTTTATAGAGAATGGGTCTGCCTATGTTTCCCAGGATGATCTTAAACTCCTAAGCTCAAGGAATCCTCCTGCCTCAGCCTCTCAAAGTGCTGGGATTACAGGTATGAGCCACCACGACCAGCCCCATGTGACCTATTTCTGCACAGAGGGAGCAGTGGATTACACATTTAGATGCATCACCATCCCTGGGTGTTTGTTGAGATGTAGATCCTGAGCTCTGCCCTCATTCTGGAGGTCTGAAGTTAGGCTCAGGGATCTGCTTTTTTTTTTTTTTTTTTTTTTAATATGGAGTTTCACTCTTGTTGCCCAGGCTAGAGTGCAATGGCGCAATCTTGGCTTACTGCAACCTCCACCTCCCAGGTTCAAGAGATTTGTCTTTCTCAGTCTCCCAAGTAGCTGAGATTACAGGCATGAGCCACCATGCCCGACTAGGGAGCTGCATTTTTTTTTTTTTTTTTTGAGAGAGTCTCAGTCTGTTGCCAGGCGCCAGGCTGGAGTGCAGTGACACAATCTCGGCTCACTGCAACTTCTGCCTCCCGGGTTCAAGCAATTCTCCTGCCTCAGCCTCCCGAGTAGCTGGGACTACAGGTGCACGCCACCACAACCAGCTAATTTTTGTATTTTTAGTAGAGATGGGGTTTCACCATGTTGGCCAGGATGGTCTTTATCTCTTGACCTCGTGATCCACCCGCCTCGGCCTCCCAAAGTGCTGGGATTACAGGCTTGAGCCACCGCGCCTGGCCCGGGAGCTGCATTTTAATCAGACATCTTAAAGCGGTGCTTAATTGGATGGTAGTTCATGAAGAACCATGTTTAAGAAGTCCTTGACGCCAAGCACAGTGGTTCACACCTGTAATCCCAGCACTTTGGGAGGCCAAGGCGGGTGGATCACTTAGGTCCAGGAGTTTCAGACCAGCCTGGTCAATATGGTGAAACCCTGTCTCTACTGAAAATAACAAAAATTAGCCAAGTGTGGTGGCACACACCTGTAATCCCATATATTCGGGAGGTTGAGGCACAAGAATCATTTGAACCTGGGAGGCAGAGGTTTCAGTGAGCTGAGATTGCATCACTACACTGCAGCCTGGGCAATGGAATGAGACTCTGTATCAAAAAAAAAAAAAAAAAAAGATTCCTTGAGCTTAAAGTCAGTGATGAGTAAAAAATGAAAAAAAAAAAGTAGTCCTGGTCTGAGCAGGGACAAGCATACTAAATTTCTGCCTTCCTTTTTTTTTTTTTTTTTTTTTTTTGAAGCAGAGTTTCGCTCTTGTTACCCAGGCTGGAGTGCAATGGCGCGATCTCGGCTCACTGCAACCTCCGCCTCCTGGGTTCAGGCAATTCTCCTGCCTCAGCCTCCTGAGTAGCTGGGATTACAGGCACGTGCCACCATGCCCAGCTAATTTTTTGTATTTTTAGTAGAGACGGGGTTTCACCATGTTGACCAGGATGGTCTCGATCTCTCAACCTCGTGATCCACCCGCCTCGGCCTCCCAAAGTGCTGGGATTACAGGCTTGAGCCACCGCGCCCGGCCTTTTTTTTTTTTTTTTTTTTTTTTGGCGGAGTTTTGCTCTTGTCACCCAGGCTGGAGTGCAGTGGCGTGATCGCAGCTCACTGTAACCTCCTCCTCCCAGATTCAAGCAATTCTCCTGCCTCAGCCTCCCCAGTAGCAAGGACTATAGGCATGTGCCACCATGCCCAGCTAATTTTGTATTTTTAGTTGAGATGGGGTTTCACCATGTTGGTCAGGCTGGCCTCGAACTCCTGATCTCAGTTAATCCAACCACCTCAGCCTACCAAAGTGCTGGAACTTACAGGCATGAGCTACCGTGCCCAGCCTGACCTTTGTTTTATTTTTTATTTTTTATTTTTTTTTTATTTTTTATTTTTTTATTTTTTGAGACGGAGTTTCGCTCTCGTTACCCAGGCTGGAGTGCAATGGCGCGATCTCGGCTCACCGCAACCTCTGCCTCCTGGGCTCAGGCAATTCTCCTGCCTCAGCCTCCTAAGTAGCTGGGATTACAGGCACGTGCCACCATGCCCAGCTAGTGTTTTGTATTTTTAGTAGAGACAGGGTTTCACTATGTTGACCAAGATGGTCTCGATCTCTCGACCTCGTGATCCACCCGCCTCGGCCTCCCAAAGTGCTGGGATTACAGGCTTGAGCCACCGAGCCCGGCCTGTTTTATTTTTTATTTTTTAAGAGTTTATATTACTGGAATACTTACGAGAGCACTGCCCCAGTTAGAAGAGAAGGAGGACTTATTCATCCTGAATTCTTACTGCGTTCCAGGTAGCCGGACAGTTACAGTTCATGAGTTGTGTTCTTTCAAACCTCAGAACAATCTTAAGGTCCCATGCCACTGACAGATAAACAGAGCAAAAACTGTGGGCCAGGTGTGGTGCCTCACGCCTGTAATCTCAGCACTTTTGGAGTATGCGGCGGGTGGGTCACCTGAGGTCAGGAGTTCAAAACCAGCCTGGCCAACATGGTGAAACCCCGTCCCTACTAAAAATACAAAATATGAGCTGGGTGTAGTGGTGCATGCCTGTAATCCCAGCCACTTAGGAGGCGGAGGCAGGAGAATTGCTTGAATCTGGGATGTGGAGGTTATAGTGAGCTGAAATTGCTCCATTGCACTCCAGCCTGGGCAACAAGAGTGGGGAAAAAAAAAAGTGTGGGCGCTGATTTCTACACTGGCATTTTCCAGACTTTGACCAGCCATCATCTTGTTATTTTATTATTACTTGTTTTTAAATATGTTTAATTTTATAAATACATACATTTAAAGATGAAACTTTGTATCACCATTATAAATTAAAATCCCCCAGCCTGGTCAGTATGGTAAAACCCCGTCTCTACTAAAAATACAAAAATAAGCTGGGTGTGGTGGCATGCCCTGTAGTCCCAACTACTTGGGACGCTGAGGCAGAAAAATAGCTTGAACCCAGGAGGCAGAGGTTGCAGGGAGCTGAAATCATGCCACTATACTCCAGCCTGGGCAACAGTGAGACTCTGTTTCAAAAAAGGTCTCAATAAAAACAGTATTGAGCTGGTGGGTGAGTGGCTCATGCATATAATCCCAACACTTTGGGAGGCTGAGGTGAGAGGATCACCTTGGCCCAGGAGTTCAAGACCAGCCTGGGCAACTTAGTGAGACCCTGTCTTTATGAAAGGATTACAGGGGTCAGCCACCATGCTTGGCCCTTTTTTTTTTTTTTTTTTTTTTTTGAGACAGACAGAGTTCCACTTTAGTTGCCCAGGATGGAATGCAATGGCATGGTCTCGGCTCACTGCAGCCTCTGCCTCCCAAGTAGCTGGGATTATAGGCATGAGTCACTGCGCCCAGCCAATTTTGTATTTTTAGTAGAGACGGAGTTTCTCCATGTTGGTCAGGCTGATCTCGAACTCCTAACCTCAGGTGATTCACCCACCTTGGCCTCCCAAAGTGCTGGGATTATAGGCGTGAGCCACTGCACCAGGCCTAGGTTTTTGTTTTTTGTGTCTTTTTGAGACGGGGTTTCGAGCTCTTGTTCAGGCTGGAGTGCAGCGGCATGATCATTGGCTCACTGCAGCCTTGGCTTCCTGGGCCCATGTGGTCCTCCCACCTCAGCCTCCTGAGTTGCTGAGACTACAGGTGCAAACTACACTTGGCTAATTTTTTAAATCTATTTGTAGGGACGAGGTCTCTCCATGTTGCCCAAGCTGGTCTCAAACTCCTGGACTCAAACGATCCGCCTGTCTCAGCCTCCCAAGTAGTTGGGACTCCAGGCATGTGCCACCATGCCCAGCTAGTTTTTCTTTTAATGTGACAATTAAATGGCAATGTGCATCTGAAAACAGGTGGCGTATTGTGGGTTGGGAGCTCCCAGGGGAATGAAGACAAGCCTGTACATTGAGTGGACAGATACACTTCTGCCATGTTTGGAAGATGTCCTGTGCCCTCTTGCAAGCTGGCGTCTAGTCCGATGGGTTTCCCTACAAGGCACAGTAACTCACTCTCTCTGTCATGTTTAGGGTGTCAACCTGACCATGGCACGGGAGCGTGGGCAGCTTGTGTTCCTCGAGGGACTCAAGTCTGCAGTGGACGTCTTCTTCCGGGCTCAAGAGAAGCCACACCCTCTGCAGTTTCTCAGGTCAGTCAGTCGCAGCCCAAGAAGCACACACTTGGCCGGTGGGCCCAGGCAGGGTTCTTGGTTGCTGCGTGATTCCTTTTTCTTGTGCAGGAGGATAGAACTGGTTTCACGAGTCAGACACTTCATCTGGTGTTGCAGCATCATCAAATGCTGGCTCTTATCATGGGGCTGAAAGTGGACATTGTCCCAAAAGCTCTAGAGAGGATCATTTGCTGGAAGGATGGCAGAACGATATGCTTCACTGTGTTTTCCAGCCCCAGCTTAGAGCCTAGCATGGGCCCGCGCTCTGTGTTTGGCTTGATACAGGAGTCAGCAAACTATGGGCTATGAGTCAGCTGCCTGTTTTTGTAAATACATTTGTTTTGTTTGTATTTTTAAAAAATATTTTGTCTTTTTAAAAATTCTTTATTTTTATTTTTTGTAAATGAAATTTTATTGGAATACAGCCACATTCATTTGTTTGCATGTTGTCCCTGGCTGTTTTTACACTACAGAAACAAATAGAGTTGAGCGGTTGGGACCATATGACCTACAAGGCTAAAATATTTACTCTCTGGACATTTAAGAAAAAATTTGTTCCCTGGTTTGTTATTCAACAACACAGGCCTGAGATTGGTTTTCCTGCTTTTCCTCCTTTCTGAACATTGGTTTTCCTGCTTTTCCTCCTTTCTGAACATTGGCTACAAACATAGCTTTTGAAGATTCTGGAACTTCCCCCCACTGCCTCATCCCTCAGACACACACAGCCTTGTGTGGTACTATGAGGTCATGCTTCCTGACCGTGACCTCACACATACCTCTTAGCACCTTTGACCTGGGGATTCCTTTTGAAGGTAGGGGCTGGTTACACCTCCTCCTAAGGCATGGGAGGATGTCCTCATTGTTAGTGAAGTTAACCCAGTGCAAGGGACTCATCCCTGGAGCATACGGCAGTGGGCCCTGAGCTCTGTTCCTCCACTCATTGCTGAGAAATGATTGGGATAGTCACTGGAGAAGATGGAGATGGGCAAGTTGGCTCGTGTCAGAAACAAGTCAAATCTGTTACCTATACAAAAGCCTTTAGGCCACTGCCACTCACCATCAGGGCACCTGAGTTGCTATTTAACTTCCTATTTTCATTATTTCTTTGAGACAAGGTTCAAAGGTTCTAGCCTGCTCTGTTGTCCAGGCTAGAGTGCAGTGGTGCAAACACAGCTCACTGCAGTCTTGACCTCCTGGGCTCAGCCACTCCTCTCATCTCAGCCTCCCAAGTAGCTGGGACTACAGGGTCATGCCACCAGCCCGGCTAATTAAAAAATTTTTTTTTTTTTTAGCCGGGCGCGGTGGCTCAAGCCTGTAATCCCAGCACTTTGGGAGGCTGAGGCGGGTGGATCACAAGGTCAAGAGATCGAGACCATCCTGGTCAACATAGTGAAACCCCGTCTCTACTAAAAATACAAAAAAAAAAAATAGCTGGGCATGGTGGTGCGTGCCTGTAATCCCAGCTACTCAGGAGGCTGAGGCAGGAGAATTGCCTGAACCCAGGAGGCGGAGGTTGCGGTGAGCCGAGATCGCGCCATTGCACTCCAGCCTGGGTAACAAGAGCGAAACTCCGTCTCAAAAAAAAAAAAAAAAAAAAAAATTTTTTTTGTAGGGACATGGTCCCATTTTGTTGCCTAGGCTGTTCTTGAACTCCTGGGCTCAAATGATCCTCCCGCCTTGGCCTCCCAAAGTGCTGGGATTACAAGGTGTGATCTACTGTGCCCGCCCTGTTTAAGCTCCTGGGAAGGCTTCTGCCTGCGCAGTCCACGTTGATCTTCCAGGTGCCTTAAGCTCTTAGGTTGAGAGGCTTTATGGAGTCTCTCTTTTTTTACTTCAGAAGTCAAATACAAATGGCTAGGATGGAGTCTCTCTCTTTTTTTTTTTTTTTTTTGAGACAGTCTCATTCTGTTGCCCAGGCTGGAGTGCAGTGGTGTGATCTCAGTCTTGGCTCACTGCAACCTCCACCTCCCAGGTTCAAGCGATTCTCATGCCTTAGCCTCCCAGGTAGCTGGGATTACAGGTGCATGCTACCATGCCTGGCTAATTTTTGTATTTTTTGTAGAGACGGGGTTTCACCATGTTGGCCAGGCTGGTCTTGAACTCCTGACCTCAAGCGATGCGCCCACCTCAGCCTCCCAAAGTGCTGGGATTACAGGCGTGAGCCACCGTACCTGGCTGTGTATGATGTCTCTCCAGGGCCCTAGGAGCTGATTATTTTTGTGTCACCCAGTTTCTGTCACAGTGCTTTATACCTAGTAGGCCTCAGGAAGTATTTGAATTGGAGTAAAATTATTCCTGTACATGTGCATGTCTTTTCTTTCTAATCAGATCATGAACTCTTTGTTGCCAAGAATTGTGATACAGTTCTTTATCTCCCGTAGCCCTCTTCTGTGGTGCTACTTGTCCTCGTTAAACATCTGTGGAGAGGGTAAAGTCTGGTAACTTTTGTCCTGTCTCTCCAGGGAGGCCAATGCTGGGAACTTGAAACCATTGTTTGAGTTTGTACGGGAGGCCCTGAAGCCAGTAGACAGTGGAGAGGCTGGGTGGACCTACCCGGTGCTGCTGGTGGACGACCTCAGTGTGCTCCTGAGCCTGGGCCTGGGGGCGGTGGCTGTGCTGGACTTTATTCACTACTGTAGAGTCACCGTGTGCTGGGAACTAAAGGTACTAATGGAACTGCCTTCTGTGCGCCCACCTGTGACCTCTAGGAGCTCAGACAGGTCCAGACTCACTTGGTGTGATCTTCTTTGCTTGGAGTTTTGGCTTTACTCTGGAGGCCCAGAAAGCTTGTACTCCAGCCACCCTGCTTTCCCTTACCTGCCGTTGCTGAAAGTAAAGCACCCCCAAAGTAAAGTGATGATGAACATTGCATCAGTGGGCTGGTCACATATGGCACCACTGCAGTCCCAGGTCTGCCACACATAGCCTGTGTGTCCTGGGACAAGTTATTACTGTCCCTGAGTGTATTTTATAGATCCGCTAAGTTAATGAGTATGAGCTACTTTAAAAATTATAAAGGGCAATACAAGCATAGGATATACAACATTACCTTTATTATCAAGCTAGGAGGGACAAACAGATTTTCCCATAATAGAGGTTTTGGAGTTTTTGTTTTCTTTTTTTTTCTTTTTTTTTTTTTTTTTGAGACAGAGTGTCGCTCTTGTTACCCAGGCTGGAGTGCAATGGCACGATCTCGGCTCACCGCAACCTCCGCCTCCTGGGTTCAAGCAGTTCTCCTGCCTCAGCCTCCTGAGTAGCTGGGACTACAGGCACGCGCCACCATGCCCAGCTAATTTTTTGCATTTTTAGTAGAGACGGGGTTTCACTATGTTGACCAGGATGGTCTCGATCTCTCGACCTCGTGATCTACCCGCCTCGGCCTCCCAAAGTGCTGGGATTACAGGCTTGAGCCACCGTGCCCGGCCGGAGTTTTTGTTTTCTTTTGACTAGTCAGGTGAAGCAGTGGGAGCAGAGAAGGAACAAAGAAATCTGTAACTGGTTGTGATCAATTAGATGTAAATACTACTGCACTCACAGCCATCATAGAGTTTTAACAATTGTAATAGGCCAATCAGTAAAATAGGAATAACTATGTCCGAGCAAGTTGTATGGAAAGCACCACACTCTGAAATCTTGATTGTGAGTCCTTTATTGCCAGCGACCAAGAGTCAGCTCACGCTCAAAATCTCTCGGCCCCAAGGAAGGGATTTGATTTCCTTTTATATGTTGCTCAGGGTGAGGGGGGCAAAGCGGAATTTTACAGAAGCAGAATAAGCAAGTTAGGAAAGGAGGCTCCCATGATTTTTGATTAACTAAGGAGGGTATACACAAGCGGTTCTCATGATTGCTGGTTACCAAGGGGGCGCATTCAGTACTTACCGTACAATCAGTCAAGGGGGTATTCACAATAGCAAGTGGGCTTGTCAAGCAGGATATGGTTACAACGGTTATATGTTTCTATAGTTCTAAGCACAACATGACGCAGCACAGTGTAGTCCAGGTATACATTCAAGGGAGAAATGGCTGGGGGAGGAAGCCAAGATGGAGTCAGTCAGGTTCACATCTAAGTTGGAGTTAGTTTGGTTCATCTCATGACTGTGGTGGCTACCTCACAGGTACCTGATTGCAAGAGTGAAGTGAGATGAAGCTTTTAACATGCCAGCGTGGTGTCTGGCCCACGGTAGCCATTTGTCAGTGTGCAGTGGTGCAGCTGGCAGGAACGTGTGGATATTGGCATGGTGTGGTCAGGCTGAGCATGCAGAACAGTGGGAGAGATAAGCTAACTGAGTTAGCCAGGCGTGCGGGTATCCAACAGTGTGTGTTGAACACCTGTGTTCAAAGTCCTGCCTGGAAGAAGCTGTCCTGGCTATGGTTGCAGAGCAAGGAGCCAGGGTAATGCAGAAAGAATGGGAGGAGGAGGAACTGTCAGGAGTGTGGAAGGCACAGTCTGGATTGTGGGGTGACAGTAAGTAGCCAAAGCTACCTTCCACGTCCCAGCTGGGTCTTTGACCTGCTACTACCTTCTTTTTGTACGAATACTTTTTTTAGTTGAAAAAGTAAAACTTGGCTGGGTGCGGTGCCCACACCTGTAATCCCAGCACTTTGGGATGCTGAGGTGGGTGGATCACAAGGTCAGGAGTTTGAGACCAGCCTGGCCAACATGGTGAAACCCTGTCCCTACTAAAAATACAAAAAATAGCTAGGTGTAGTGGTGGGCGCCTGTAATCCCAGCTACTTGGGAGGCTGAGGCAGGAGAATTGGTGGAACCCAGGAGACGGAGCTTGCAGTAAGCTGAGATCACGCTGGTGCACTTCAGCCCGGGTGACAGAGCAAGACTTCATCTCAAAAAAAAAAAAAAAAAAGAAAGAGTAAAACTTGGGCATAGCTTAAAAAGAAAAAAAAAGAAGAAAGAAGGAACAGAGGAACAGTATAAAGCGTACTTTAGCAAAAAGTGCTGCTGTCTCTCTCCTTCCCTCCAGCGTGTATCCTTCCAGCCAGTCTGTACAATTATGCACTTATTTGTGTTTTTTCTTTTCTTTTCTTTTCTTTTTTTTTTTTTGACTTTTTGTAAAGACTTGGTCTCACTATGTTGACTAGGCTGATCTTGAACTCCTGGGCTCAGGTGATCCTCCTGCCTTGGCCTCTCAAAGTATATACACATATTTGTCTCCCTGCATTTTTCTTCATATTACTGGTAACCTGGTATCCACACTGTTTGCTACTTTTTTTTTTTTTTTTTTTGAGACGGAGTTTTGCTCTTGTTACCCAGGCTGGAGTGCAATGGCACGATCTCGGCTCACCGCAACCTCCGCCTCCTGGGCTCAGGCAATTCTCCTGCCTCAGCCTCCTGAGTAGCTGGGATTACAGGCACGAGCCATCATGCCCAGCTCATTTTTTTGTATTTTTAGTAGAGACGGGGTTTCACCATGTTGACCAGGATAGTCTCGATCTCTTGACCTCGTGATCCACCCGCCTCGGCCTCCCAAAGTGCTGGGATTACAGGCTTGAGCCACCGTGCCCGGCTTTTTTTTTTTTTTTTTTTTTTTTTAAATTGCATTTTAGGTTTTGGGGTACATGTGAAGAACATGCAAGATTGTTGTTTTTTTTTTGTTTGCTACTTTTTAAAAAAAAATTTAGTAATACACAATATATTTTGTTTTCATTTTGTAATACACAGTATATTTCATTTAGTAATATGCAGTATATATGATCCGTTGCCCCAAAATAACACATGGATCTGCTTCATTCTTTTTACTTTTTTTTTTCTGATCCTGATTTATAATTTACCGACTGTGCAGGAGCCAGTCCCTCGTTTCTGCCGCTCAAAGGCCTACTGCTCTGGGGTCAGGGTTTTCTGCTCAAAGGCATAAATGTGCGGGAGCCTCCGGCCAGGCACACATTCACCCGCCATTGTCTCTGAAGCAGCAGCTTCCCCTCGAACTTGGCCCACACCACCAGGACTCAGAAGCTGCGTGCACAACGTTTTAGGGTCACGTCCTCCACCTCCACCTCCAGGTCCTGCTGCAGCTTTCCCTGGAGGTATTCGGCGGAGATGAGTTTCATGACAGCAGTCCAACTGGGGCCACAGCCCAGCAGGGACAGAGCCCCAGCTCAGACCCCAGCCACGCTGCTTTGCACCCCTACAAGAGCCACTTACTGTTTTTCTTTTTTATTACTATTCTTTTTTTTTTTTTTGAGACAGAGTTTTGCTCTTCTTGCTCAGGATGGAGTGCAGTGGCCCAATCTCTGCCTCCCAGGTTGAAGCAATTCTCCTGCCTCAGCCTCCCAAGTAGCTGGGATTACAGGTACCCGCCACCATGCCTGGCAAATTTTTAAAAATTTTTTTTTTTTTTTTTTTTTTTTTTTTTGAGACAGAGTTTCGCCCTTGTTACCCAGGCTGGAGTGCAATGGCGCGATCTCGGCTCACCGCAACCTCCGCCTCCTGGGCTCAGGCAATTCTCCTGCCTCAGCCTCCTGAGTAGCTGGGATTACAGGCACGTGCCACCATGTCCAGCTAATTTTTTGCACTTTTAGTAGAGACGGGGTTTCACTATGTTGACCAGGATGGTCTCGATCTCTCGACCTCGTGATCCACCCGCCTCGGCCTCCCAAAGTGCTGGGATTACAGGCTTGAGCCACCGCGCCCGGCGCAAAAATATTTTTAATAGAGACAGGGTTTTACCATGTTGGTCAGGCTGGTCTCCAGCTCCTGACCTCTGGTGATCCACCCACCTTGGCCTTCCAAAGTGGTGAGATGACAGCTGTGAGCCATCATGCCCGGCCTTGTCTTTGTGCTCCCCGTACACCTTATGCTTCCCTCCCCCTTGGCCTTATCATCCTGTATTGTCAGCATCTGTCTGTCTCCAGGGCTCATATCTCTCACCCGTTATTCCTACTGTGGGATCTTGTACACTGAGTATTCAGGAACTGTCGACTGAATGAATAGGTGCCTAGCAGGATGGTGACACTTTAGTAATATTCAGGAATTCAGGAGAGGAGCTAATTTTGAAGACTGCAGGGTGAGCTTGGTTTAGATGAAGTGAGCTGAAAATATAGGTTGGCTCTGATGGTGAAATTGTCCAGTAGATGACTGGAATTAGGGTCTGGGAGCCCAGGTAGGGGCTGGTGGTAGCAGCAGCAGGGAGAATGACCCGTGAGGATGTTCAGGGGAGTGGAGGCAATGAGAGGCTGGTGCTCCCTGACTCTGGGTGTCCCTTCCAGTAAGGACCAGGTTTCCATCTTGTATCTGCTGCAGGGAAACATTGTGGTCCTTGTGCACGACAGTGGAGATGTGGAGGATGAGGAGAATGACATCCTGCTGAATGGCCTCAGTCATCAGAGCCACCTGATCCTGCGGGCTGAGGGCCTGGCCACTGGCTTCTGCAGGGATGTGCATGGGCAGGTATGCAGGGACCCACGGCAACCGGCTGCTTGCCCGTGTACCTATGATTCGCGACTGCATAAGGGAGAGTAGGGCCTGAGGGACTGTCTGGTTGGGACTGAACTTTAGGTGGAAGGGAAACATTGGAAATTGTGAGACTTCAGGTCAGAGATCTGCTCAAGACGGTGCTTAGCCTCATGGACCAGCACACATTTTTCCATGGGAGTCCCATTTGTGACCAAAGTGGAGCACTCTTAAAGAGGAGACAGTTGTCTAGAGTGGAATGCAGGGGCATGCCATCAAATAACAGCAAAATTTCTCTGCAGTACTGCAGCAGGCATTGTCCATTGAGGTCAACACTGTTCATTTAAAAATAATGACCAGGGGCCAGGTGCAGTGGCTCATGCCTGTAATCCCAGCACTTCGGGAGGCTGAGGCAGGCGGATCGCTTGAGGTCAGGAGTTCGAGACCAGCCTGGCCAACATGGTGAAACCCCATCTCTAATAAAAATACTAAAGTAGTCCCAGCTACTTGGGAGGCTGAGGCACAAGAATCGCTTGAACCTGGGAGGTACAGGTTGCAGTGAGCCGAGATTGCGCCATTGCACTCCAGCCCCGGTGACAGAGCGAGACTTCATCTCAAACAAACAAACAAAAACAGGTATCTAGTCTTCCTGGGCCTCTGCATTGAATGTACAAATTCTAATGTGGTTTTGTTTCTTTTTTTGATATGGAGTCTTGCTCTGTCTCCCAGGTAGCTTGAGTACAATAGCGTGATCTCAGCTCACTGCAGCCTCCGCCTCCCAGGTTCAAGTGATTCTTCTGCCTCAGCCTCCTGGGTAGTTGGGATTTTAGGCGTGTGCTACCATGCCTGGCTCATGTTTTTGTATTCTTAGTAGAGACAGGGTTTCACCATGTTGGTCAGGCTGGTCTCGAACTCCTGACCTTGTGATCTGCCCGCCTCGGCCTCCCAAAGTGCTGGGATTACAAGCATAAACCACTGTGCCTGACTTCTAATGTGATTTTCAAAATTAGTCTAGCCCACAAATACAAAACCATGCTTAGAAAAAAGAACTAAGGAGCTGGGTGCGGTGGCACATGCATGTAACTCCAGCACTTTGGGTGGCAGAGGTGGTGGATCACTGGAGGTCAGAAGTTCACCACCAGCCTGACTAACATGGTGAAACCCTGTCTCTACTAAAAACACACACAAAAAATTAGCCGGGCTTGGTGGCACATGCCTGTAATCCACGCTACTTAGGAGGCTGAAACAGGAGAATCGCTTGTACCTGGGAGGCAGAAGCTGCAGTGAGCCGAGATCAAGCCATTGCACTCCAACCTGGGCAACAAGAGCAAAACTCCATCTTAAAAAAAAGAAAAAAAAGAACAGCCAGGTGCGGTAGTTCACGCCTGTAATCCCAGCACTTTGGGAGGCCAAGGTGGGCAGATTACCTAAGGTTAGAGTTCCAAACCAGCCTGGGCAATATAGTGAAACCCCGCTTCTACTAAAAATATGAAAATTAGCGGGGCCTGGTGGCACACGTCTGTAATCCAGCTACTTGGGAGGCTGAGGCAGGAGATTTACTTGAACCCTGGAGGTGGATGTTGCAGTGAGCCAAGATTGTTTCACTGCACTCCAGCCTGGGCAATGGAGTGAGACTCTGCTTCAAAAAAAATAATAATAATAACATAAAAATAAGGGTCTTTCTCTGAAAGACTTTTTCCTTCCTTCTCCTTTTTCTTCTCTTTCACATTTTCTGTATTGAGCAAATATGACTATTGTAATGAAGGGGAAACTCTTTATTTGTAGTTAGCTGGTGATAGGCTTTATTTTACAAGTTGGCCCCATTACTGGATGGCACGTCTGACTGTGATCTCATAGAGGCCTCAGCTGGAGATCACAGAGAAGGCAGGGCGGGGTTCCCAGTAGAGCAGGTTCCCAAGGTGGCTGCCCCTCTTTCATTCCTCTCTGTCTCTGTAGCTGAGGATCCTGTGGAGGAGACCATCGCAGTCCACATCTCAGCGGGATCAGAGCCTCACTTACCAGTATAAGATACAGGACAGAAGCGTGTCCTTTTTTGCCAAAGGAATGTCTCCTGCTGTTCTGTGATCTGATTTCGGAGCAGCTGAAGCTACATGGGACTGTTTTTGGACGTGGAAGGTAGCACAACCTAGCAAGAGGTTCTCTTCTGTAGTAGTATTTCGGGCTGGACTGGTGACTCCACAGTGACCAGGGAGAGTTGAATGCTGCAGTGATGGCATACCTTGGCTATTCTGGGCCCTGTTCGGAAAACACAAGGGACCATGATCCTACTTCTGCTGAGGGAGAGGCTGGATGCTAGACCCCAGCGAATGGGGTCCTTTGGAGCCTTTGTTTAAATATGCCTTAATCCCAGCTGCCTATTTTTGGTTGATGTGCATTTCAAAGCCAAAGTGGGTATAAATGCGCCAGCCAGGAAATAATCCCGGATGGCAGGTATGCAAGGTGACAACTGGGACAGTCATGGCTGGAATAAAGTACGTTTCCACATTGGGGCTTCCTGTGGGTTGTCTTGTTCAATTTCCATCCTGGAAAGGTACTTTCCTTTTCCCTTTGAGTCCAGTGAGGAAACAGACCTAGAGAGGTTTGGGAGCGCACAGGTGCACAGAGGGCTGTAGTTACCTGCGCCTCACAGTCCATACTTGCTGACTGATAGTTATGGAACTCAGACGCCAGCTTCTTCAGTTTCTGTGGTGCCTTGCCTTTATGCCAACAAATCCTAGCCATCAAGGGCCTGGCACCAGGGCCTTGGCCACATGAGGCCCTGTGTAGGTGCAGGTGTGTATGGCCTTGGTGAGAGGGGTAAGGGATATTCTTGCTGCCAGGCAGGTGGGGCCTTGGTGAGGAGCTGGTGCCTCCCTCACCTGTGAAGACTGCAGGAGGTGAACACTTGTTCCTGGATCCTGTAGATGACAATTAGTCCCACTCAGCCCCTCAGTTGAGGTCACCTCAAGAGTAGACACTAAGTGTATTCTCTTAAAATGGGTGCTTTTTTGGTATATAAATTATGCTACAATGAATTTTTATCTTAAAGAAAATGAAAAAATAATACTATTTTGCTGTATACTAAGGAACTTGCATAGCTGTTTTCTTCTCTTTTTTTTTATTTTTGAGATGGAATCTCACTCTGTTGCCCTAGCTGGAGTACCGTGGCATGATCTCAGCTCACCACAACCTCCACCTTCCAGATTCAAGCTATTCTCCTGCCTCACCCTCCCAAGTAGCTGAGATTATAGGCACATGCCACTGTCCCCAGCTAATTTTTGTATTTTTAGTAGAGACGGGGTTTTGCCATATTGGCCAGGCTGGTCTTGCACTCCTGACCTCTGGTGATCCACCTGCCTCAGCCTCCCAAAGTGCTGGGATTACAGGCATGAGCCACTGCACCTGGCCTCTTCTCTTTTTTTTTTTCTTTTTTCTTTCTTTTTTTTTTTGAGACATGGTCTCGCTCTGTTGCTCAGGCTGGACTCCAGTGGTGTGATCATAGCTTACTGCAACCACGACCCTCTGGGCTCAAGGGCTGTGGCACCCAGTCTCCCAAGTAGCTGGGATTACAGGTGCATGTCGCCATGCCCAGCTCATATCTGTTGTTTAATTTTAACTTTTTACATTTTTAGTCTTTGGGAAAAATTTACCACACTTCTCTTCAAATCATACAATTGTATATGTTATCCCTCTGAAACAGTAAGCTGCTTTTATTCTCAAAATATTGTAGACCTGATAGAATATTTGAAAGTTATAAGTGCAATTAAGAGAAAGTAGCTATTAAAAAATCTAACCTAATGATTCTTTCATTAAGACTTCAGTACTTATGCAAACTTTATTTGAGCTACAGTTTTGAATGGGCAAGGCACCATTTTTTACATGACGTAAATGTTGCTAGCATGTTTCTTCACTTAGTTTTATAAATGCTTTCACTAATTTTTTTTTTTTTGAGACAGATTCTCTCTCTCTGTTGCCCAGGCTGGAGTGCAGTGTGGCACTTCTTAGCTCACCTGAATTCCAAGTGATCCTCCCACCTCAGCATCCTGAGTAGCTGGTACTACAGGTGCCCACCACCATGTCTGGCTAATTAAAAATTTTTTTTTGTAGAGGCAGGTGTCACTTTGCTGCCCAGGGTAGTCTTAAACTCCTGGACTCAGGAGATCCTCTCACCTCAGACTACCGTCAAATATTTTAGTTTAATAGCTATTCAGCTTTTTTTTTTTTTTTTTTTTTTTTTTTTTTTTTGAGATAGAGTTTTGCTCTCCTTACCCAGGCTGGAGTGCAATGGCATGATCTCGGCTCACCGCAACCTCCGCCTCCTGGGTTCAGGCAATTATCCCGCCTCAGCTTCCTTAGTAGCTGGTATTACAGGTGTGTGCCACCATGCCCAGCTAATTTTTTGTATTTTTAGTAGAGATGGGGTTTCACCATGTTGACCAGGGTGGTCTCGATCTCTTGACCTCGTGATCCACCTGCCTCAGCCTCCCAAAGTGCTGGGATTACAGGCTTGAGCCACTGCACCCGGCGCTATTCAGCGTTTTATGCCATCATTGTATTCTAGTTTGTTTAGTTATCCTCTAGGCATATAGGTTCTGGTTTTTACTGTTATCAGTTATGCTGTTATAAATGTTATATACTCTCCCTTTTGAGGGTGGGGACAAGAACTTGTTTTTTTAGAACCTGGCAAACCAGGTCACTGGCAGAGCTCGTAGAAATTAAGTTCTGGAGGAGAAGACAGGCAATTAGCAGAATTGACAAGTGACATATTTTTTTTTTTGAGACCGAGTTTCGCTCTTGTTACCCAGGCTGGAGTGCAATGGCACGATCTCGGCTCACCGCAACCTCCGCCTCCTGGGTTCAGGCAATTCTCCTGCCTCAGCCTCCTGAGTAGCTGGGATTACAGGCACGCACCACCATGCCCAGCTAATTTTTTTGTATTTTTAGTAGAGACGGGGTTTCACCATGTTGACCAGGATGGTCTCTATCTCTTGACCTTGTGATCCACCTGCCTCGGGCTCCCAAAGTGCTGGGATTACAGGCTTAAGCCACCATGCCCGGCGACAAGTGACATATTGAACTTAGACCATGATAAGTGCTGTAAATAAACCAGCGAAGGGGCCTGTGAGAAGGGAGGAGTGATTACGTTTTACAGTCTGTTACCGATAATGGAATTACTGAATTACAGCGTGAACTGGCCCTGGCACATTAGCAGGTTGTTCTTCAGAATGAGGGATCCAGTTCACAGTGATACAGAGCTGAGGCAGGCAGATCACCTGAGGTCAGTAGTTTGAGACCAGCCTGGCCAATATGGTGAAACCCCATCTCTACTAAAAATACGAAAATAGCCAGGCATGGTGGCATACGCCTGAAATCCCAGCTACTCAGGAGGCCATGGCAGAAGAATTGCTTCAACCCAGGAGGTGGAAGCTGTGGTGAGCTGAGATTGTGCCACTGCACTCTAGCCTGGTAGCCTGAGTGACAGAGCAAGACACTGTCTCAAAAAAAAAAAAAAAAAGAAAAGAAAAGAAAAGAAATTCTTTACACAGCAGCAAGGAAAGAAAAGAAAAAAAAAAAAAAACAACACAACGAGATACCACTATATAGCCACTAAAATGGCTGTATCAAAAAGACTGACAGTAACTAGAACTGGCAAGGATGTGAGGAAATTGGAACCCTCATACGTTGCTAGTGGGAATGGAAACAGTGTAGCCACTTTGGAAAATAGTTTGGTATTTCTCAAAGTGTTAAACCTAGGCTGGGTGCAGTGACTCAAGCCTGTAATTCCAGCACTTTGGGAGGCCAAGGTTGATGGATCACTTGAGACCAGGAGTTTGAGACAGCAGCCTGGCCAACAGGGTGAAACACCATCTCTACTAAAAATGCAGAAAATTAGCTGGGTGTGTTGGCACACACCTGTAATCCCAGCTACTCAGGAGGCTAAGGCATGAGAATCGCTTGAACTCCAGACTGTGTGACAGAGGAAGACCCTGTCTTAAAATAAATAAATAAAGGCTTACTATATGACTGAACCATTCAATTCATAGCTATCTACCCAAAGGAAATGAAAACATGGACCAGCCACGGTGGCTCACACCTGTAATCCCAGCAATTTGGGAGGCTGAGGTGGGCAAATCACAAGGTCAGAAGATCGAGACCAGCCTGGCTAACACGGTGAAACCCCGTCTCTACTGAAAATACAAAAAACTAGCTAGGTGTGGTGGCACACGCCTGTAATCCCTGCTACGTGGGAGGCTAAGACAGGAGAATCACTTGAACCTGGGAGGCAGAGGTTGCAGTGAGCCGAGATGGTGCCGCTATACTCCAGCCTGGGTGACAGAGTGAGACTCTCCAGCCTGGGTGACAGAGTGAGACTCTGTCTCAAAAAAAGAAAAGAAATGAAAACAGTTCTACATAAACTCTTGTGTGATGACAAAAGTGACTCCATCTTCGATGCTAATCTGCCATGTTGACCTCAGATTGACCCCAGTCCTGTGAATGCCTCCTGATTCCTTGTTTATTTACTGTCTTTAATGCAAGAACATGTACTCACAATATATCCTGCCTTTAGGATGGCAACCTTGATGTTACTGCGCAGCTCTTTCTGGCCTGCTCTGGTGGGTTGCCTTTCATTATCTCTATAGAGCACACACCCCTTTTCCTATGGTATATAAGCTCCGGGTCTGGGGAATAATGTTGCGGCGATCTACCTGACTTATTGCTGACCATGCTTCTGTTCGTAAGTTTCCTAATCAGTTGCCCTCTGCTGATAAACTGGATTTGTCTGTCTTGTTCTTTGGTTTCTCAGCTCCTTTTGCATTTGGGGGTCATTTTGCACATATGGCCCTTTCATGGAATAACTTGTGTGTGAATATTCACAGTAGTGTTTATTTTTATAACCGAAAAGTGGAAAAAAATCCAAATGTCCGCCTGCCATGGTGGCTTATGCCTGTAATCCCAGCACTTTGGAAGACTGAGGCAGGCAGATCATGAGGTCAGGAGATGGAGACCATCCTGGCTAACATGGTGAAACCCATATCTTCTAAAAATACAAAAAACTAGCCAGGTGTGGTGGCGGGTGCCTGTAATATCAGCTACTTGGGAGGCTGAGGCAGGAGAATCACTTGAACCTGGGAGGCAGAGGTTGCAGTGAGCCAAGATTTTGCCAGTGCACACCAGCCTGGGAAACAGAGCAAGACTCTATCTCAAAAACAAAAATTCAAATGATGATAAAAATCAACTGATAATAAAAATGTAGTGTATCTGGATTAGCCAGGTGTGGTGGCTTACACCTGTAATCCCAGCACTTTGGGATCCTGAGGCAAGAGGATCACAAGCTCAAGAGTTTGAGACCAGCTTGCCCAATATGGTGAAACACTGTCTACCAAAAATACAAAAATTAGCTGGGTATGGTGGTGAGCGCCCATAGTCCCAGCTACTCGGGAGGGAGCCTGAGGCAGGAGAATCACTTGCACCTGGGAGGTGGAGGTTGCAGTGAACAAAGATCGTGCC